CCCCCGCCTACTGGAATTTGGAGGATCTGGGTGGAAGATGCTCGACTCCAATTCGAGTAGGCTTGGAGGTCTCGGCCCCGGAACCCGCGTGGCTTTGTCCCTCTGCCAGTACCTTCAGGTGTGCGGAGAGTGGTCTCAGCATGGTGGTGGCTGGTCCTGGAGGTCTCCGGCTGCCGTAGCCCTGGCCGGGGCGGGGAGGAAAGCTCAACCCGCTCCCCTCCAAGGGACTCCGGGAAGGAACACCGGAAGCGCGGGGGCAGAGACTGCACTGCTCTCGTCCGGGATCTGGATTTTATAGTCTCTGAGTCTTGGCCGCTGATGGGATTACACGGCGCCAGGGGGCCAGGTGGTGGGTGTGACCCCCGCCTACTGGAATTTGGAGGATCTGGGTGGAAGATGCTCGACTCCAATTCGAGTAGGCTTGGAGGTCTCGGCCCCGGAACCCGCGTGGCTTTGTCCCTCTGCCAGTACCTTCAGGTGTGCGGAGAGTGGTCTCAGCATGGTGGTGGCTGGTCCTGGAGGTCTCCGGCTGCCGTAGCCCTGGCCGGGGCGGGGAGGAAAGCTCAACCCGCTCCCCTCCAAGGGACTCCGGGAAGGAACACCGGAAGCGCGGGGGCAGAGACTGCACTGCTCTCGTCCGGGATCTGGATTTTATAGTCTCTGAGTCTTGGCCGCTGATGGGATTACACGGCGCCAGGGGGCCAGGTGGTGGGTGTGACCCCCGCCTACTGGAATTTGGAGGATCTGGGTGGAAGATGCTCGACTCCAATTCGAGTAGGCTTGGAGGTCTCGGCCCCGGAACCCGCGTGGCTTTGTCCCTCTGCCAGTACCTTCAGGTGTGCGGAGAGTGGTCTCAGCATGGTGGTGGCTGGTCCTGGAGGTCTCCGGCTGCCGTAGCCCTGGCCGGGGCGGGGAGGAAAGCTCAACCCGCTCCCCTCCAAGGGACTCCGGGAAGGAACACCGGAAGCGCGGGGGCAGAGACTGCACTGCTCTCGTCCGGGATCTGGATTTTATAGTCTCTGAGTCTTGGCCGCTGATGGGATTACACGGCGCCAGGGGGCCAGGTGGTGGGTGTGACCCCCGCCTACTGGAATTTGGAGGATCTGGGTGGAAGATGCTCGACTCCAATTCGAGTAGGCTTGGAGGTCTCGGCCCCGGAACCCGCGTGGCTTTGTCCCTCTGCCAGTACCTTCAGGTGTGCGGAGAGTGGTCTCAGCATGGTGGTGGCTGGTCCTGGAGGTCTCCGGCTGCCGTAGCCCTGGCCGGGGCGGGGAGGAAAGCTCAACCCGCTCCCCTCCAAGGGACTCCGGGAAGGAACACCGGAAGCGCGGGGGCAGAGACTGCACTGCTCTCGTCCGAGAGACTATAAAATCCAGATTGATATTTACTTTCCCGCATTTTGCTCATTTTTTTCCCCCTTAACCTTTTAGCATTCTTATAGCCCAGAAATGAGTCTATTAGAACCTGAGAATTGAATTTACTTTTTTTAAAGGTTAGGTAATTTTTGTATTTACCTGAAATCTTATTCCATTTACATTTGTTGTAGTTATATTTATTGATTTATTATAATCGGTTCCTGCTGTCTTGTTTTTCCCTTTGCATTTATCTTGCACTTCTTCTAACTTTTGCCCTTTTTATTGCTTCTTCCTACATTGATTATTTTCTTCTTGTTACTCTTTATCCTTTCAGTATTTAGAAGAGTTCTATACCATATTTACATATTTGGGTTTTTTGGGGGGAGCGCAGATGTCTGAGCCATACCCAGCGTGCTGAAGCTGGCTTTGTGCTCAGGATACTCCTGACTCTGTGCTCGGGGATAACTCTTGGCAGGCTGCAGGGAATATGTAGAATGCTGAGGATGGACCCTCGGCTGCACCAAGGCAAGCACCCTCCCCCTATACTGTTGTTCTGGCCTGCCCTGTTTATATTCTTTTTGTAATTGTTTTAGAAATTTTAGCTTATCAAAGTAATGAGTAGAACTGCTTCGGTCTCCCTCTATATTCGTTTTAGGATCTTGGAATGCTTTAATTCCAAGCAATAACCCTTCTAATTTGTGTGCTATTATTATCCAGTAAATTGGTCCTGTCTTTTTTTTTTTTGCAATTGTAATTTTTTGCAATTGTCTTACTTTTTTAATCCCACAAATTATCCACTACTACTATAGTTTAATACAATCAGAAATGTTTTAGATTTACAGCATAATTATGATTTTCTTTGCTTAGAATTCCTCCTTGCTTCTCAGCTTTTCTATCTGGGACAATTTGTCCTTTCTTCCTGTCTCATGTTTATCCTTTAACATTTTATTTATTGAGAAAAATAAATTATTAGGAAAATACTCTCTTGGTGTTTTTTCCAATAATTAAAAAAACTATTTGGTGGGGGCCATATCAGCCCTTACTCAGGTGCCACTCCTGGTGGGGCTTGGAGGACCCTATGTGGTATCAAGGATGTTGAAACCCGGTCAGCTTCAGGCAAGGCAAGTACCCTACCCACTGTACTGTTGCTCCAGCCTCCAAATTATTTTTTTTTTCATTTTAAGAAAGAAAATTTTAATTCTAGTTGATAGTTTTTTTCTTTAAGTATAATGAGAATATCCTGTTTTAAATAATTTTTAAATTTAGCCTGTGTGCTGCCAGGCTAGCTGCTTAGCCTCTAGAGGAACCTGTGGGCCTCGGTTCCTCTCTGGAAGGTGGGGCGACCCTGGTCTGAGGGTCAGAGGCTCACGGTGAGGATGGAATGGACCCAAATGTGCACATTCAGAGCAGTGGTCGCCCATTTCCGGTGCTTGCTGTTGCTTTTTCCTGTTGATGTTTTCAAGATATCCTTAATGAGGTGTTCCACTCGGATGCAGCTAGGTGGGGATTCATCCCATTGGAAATTCCCCGAGCATTTTGAACCTCTGGAGTGCTTTCTTCTCTCAGTTCAGGGGTAAGATTTTAGCCATAGATCTTCAGATGCTGCCACTGCCCCAGCCACTGTCCCCTCTCCTGGAAATTCAGTTAATCACCCTTTCTCATTCTCTCCTTCGTGTCTCTGGCATGTTTCACATTCTCTGGACTGTGAAGATTCTAGATAATATCTTCTAAACTATCTCCCAGTTCACTAACACATTTCAGTTCGTATCTAGTGTGTTATTAAACCTAGCATTTGGTTAATATTATTACTACTAAAACTGTCGTTACTATTTTTATTCTTATTTTCTTTATAGAGGCTGGATTTGGTTCCCAGCCAGGCTGCTTGGTCGTTTTGGTGGGGAAGTGGCCTTCATTTATATTTTTGACTCCTTCCTTTATTTCTTTAAACATATCACACATGCCTACTTTGTATTCTGGGCTGACAAATCCGGTATCAAAGTCTTTGCTAATCTGATTCTGCTGCATGTTGTCTTAAAACCTCACAACGCTGGAGTATACACCCCAGAGAGAGGCCCTGCTACAGGGTTCTTAACTGGAAAAGACTATTGTTGCTCGGGGGTGGACATGTTTGAACCACACCTGGCTGTATTTAAGGCTTTAGGGTCCTGGCTCTGTGCTCTGGGGTCTTTCATGGCGGTGCTCAAGGAACCATAGGTGCGTCCAGGGATCGAACCAGGAACCAGGAACCTTACATGTCAGCCACATGTAAGGCCATAGACTTAACCCCTGTGTTACTGTCTCTCTGGCCCCCATAGAGGGCAGTTCTTAATATGTTTCCCACTTCACAGAAGTTCCCTGTTTCTTCCCTGACTTCTCAGTGGACTTTTCTGAAAGACTCAATCATTCCCCTGGTTTCAGAAAGAAAAAAGTGAACAGTTTCCTTCTTGGCTCATTGTTCTTTCCTCTGGTTGTTGGTTATTGTGGCTCCTTCTGGAAACTCGGCAAAGAGAAAGTTTTTAATTCGTCTCGTTTTTTAAGATAAACGGTAGCACACTGCACACATTGTTCTAAACTTTTTTTTTAATTTAAAAAATGTTTCTGAGCATAAAGGAAATGCATTCATGTTTTGAATAATGTAAATACCATATGTCTACAAGTGGAAAGTCCCCTTGGAGTTTCATCCTCCAGAGATAACTTCCATTGTGCTAGCCGCAAATCCATATTTACATAAATGGGCTTATGCAACACTTACTGTCCCACCGCCTGTTTTTGCTGTTACGCCAAATGTGCCTTGACAGCTTCCATGAATCTTGTCAGCCAGTGCTCTCCCCGCGGCCCCACTGAGAAGTGCCCAGACTTAAAAAAAAAAAAAAAAGAAGTGCCCAGACTTTGCATCGGGCAGAACTAGCTATCTACTAGCTATCTCCCCCCACTCCAAAGAACTAGCTATCTTTATCCACCCCCACCCACACACCGCTCACTGCCCACCACCAGACAGAACTAGCTACCTTCAGCCCTGCCCTTCCCCCACCGCCAGACAGAACTAGCTATCTACACCCTCCTCCCCGGACAGAACTAGCTATCTTCATCCCCCCAGACAGAACTAGATATCTAACATCCTCCCCCCAATATGGGGGGACACCCAGAAAATGCTCGGGGCATATTCCTGTGTCAGCCTTGTGCAAAGCAAGTGGACTATTCGCAGTGCTATGACTCCAACAGCCCTTGCCACGGAACTAGCTAGTTCTATCCTAGTTCCGCTGCTCCATCTGCGGGCTTTGCCAGAGCCTCTCCAAGCCTCAGTTCTTCCATCTGTCAAATGGTTGCAGAGTGGTTCTGAGACCTCAGGAAGCTCATGAATGGCACGCTTCCTCCAGGGCCAGCTACTTAACCCCTAGTGGCGGTAGTGTCCTTGCGACTCACCCTTTTTACTGGACAGAGAGAGCCGTGGAATGACAGTCACCTTTATTAATGGTGGCCCCTCTGATGCACACTGCACTGTCCTCATTCTGTGGTGGGTGTGAGGCGGCCCTTCTCGTGACCGTGGAGCTGGCATCGTTCTTGCCGATTGTGGATGTCCTGATCTATCTGCAGTGGGTTTCTCTGGCTCCTCTGGGTTCTAATCTCTGATCCTCTCTCCCCAAGGAGGAAATGAAAATGCCCTGTGGGGCGAAGCGAGTGTGCTATGTAAGTCTTTTCTCCCCCCCCCCACCCCCGCTTTGTATTTGGGACATGCATGGTGGTGCACAGGGCTGACTCCTGGCTCTGTGCTCAGGGATCACTCTTGGAGGGCTCAAGGGACCAGATGAGGTGCCAGGGATCGAGCCCAGGTCTGCTGTGTGCTTGGCGAACACCCTACCTGCTGTACTCTCCCTCTACCTTTATTCCTTATTACTGCTCCTCTTCCTCCCTTTGCCCAGGTCTGGTGTCTGGGTGGCATCCTCTACCTAGAGGAGGTCCTGGCTCCCAGCCCCACCTGGCTGTGCCCTCCCGCAGAGCACCCAGGCCCCCCGCTCCCAGGACAGGGTCTCAGTCTTGCCCCAGCCTTGCTCCCTGACAAATTCATAAGCATTCATTCCTCAAGGCTCACCTTTATACCCGCCCCCCTGCTTGCCACGCGGTGCCCCATGGTTTGCTGTTAACAGAATAAACACGTTGCGTGCCATAATGGCCTGAAGAAAGCGAGAGAAAGGGAAGGAGAAAGGGGACTCTTGTTATGACCCCTCATACTCTCCCCAGCCTGGGAAGTGCGAGCACTGGGCTGAGTGATCAGCTTCAGGGACACCTGAGCAAGGGGGGAGCGGGATGGCCTTGGTGGCTCCTTAGAAGACCCCCAGCCCTCTCAGCACCCTGCAGTGGTCAAGAAGGACTTTCAGAGCAGCAAAGGGGCAGCCTTTCGGAGGGGCCAGGTCCTAGTTCCCAAAGAACTCTGGGAAGGCGGCTTTCGGTGGGATGAGGAGGACTCAGGCCCTTCCTATGCTGGGGTCTCCCGTCCCGAGGATGAGGTGGCCTCATGGCAGGGTCCAGACCCCAGGAAACTTGGGTGGTCAAGGGGTTGGGAATGAGTATAGGCTCCTGCCTTATGTGCTCCAGGCAGGTAGGGAGAGACCCGTGGGGCGCAGAGGGAGGACAGTGGTCACTGCCTCTTCTGAAGTCCCCTCTCCCCACAGATGGCTGCAGGGCCGGTGATCTTCCTCCTGGGCTCCCTTGGCCAGGCCAAGGCAGAGTGGCCGCAGCCTCTGCAGCTGGAGCCTCTGGAGAACATGATGGAGGTCAGCGCAGCCTCTCCTGCCAGGAGGCCCAGGAGAAAGAGGAGGTGCAAGGCCCTGTGCCCCACTGCCCGCCAGGTACAGATCCCGGGGGGTGCATCCCCTCCCCTTTCCCAGCACAGATGGCCCCGTGGCAGGACAAGCGCTGACCTGCCCATACGCACAGAACCCAGAGCAATGCCTGGCTGGCTCCTGACCCCAGACTCGGAGTTCTGGCCTGGCAAGACTATGGCCCCAGAGCAGTGGCCGCCTTTGCACCTGACCAACCCTCTGGCCTTCATTCCAGGCAGCTCCCAGGACAGACCTGGGCACTGCCTGCCTCTCTGCCCCCACCCACCCCCGCCCCTACCCTGCCAGCCCAGGGTTCACTTCCTGTGCATGTTCAGGGGCCACCCTGATGTTCATGTCCTTTCTCTGCGGGGGCCGGTGCTAAGGGCGGGGGCTGAGGCTGCAGCCCAGGAGAAGGTGGCGGAAGGGAGGCAAGTGTCCCCCTGGGGTCCAGCCTCTGCTCCTCCCTCTCCCCCACAGAGGCACCCCCAGGAGGCTGAAGAGACGTCTGCTGAGCAGGACAGGGGTGAGGATGCAGGTGAGGGGTGGCGGTGGACCCTAAGCAGAGGTCTTTGGGGACCCCATCCACCCTCTTGGGAGTCCCCCCAACCCGTAGCCGTTTTTTACCCACTGGCTTCCTGCTCTTCTCCCAGCCTGACTTTCTAGAAGCCTCAATCCCTTCCCTGCCCGTCTGCCCAAGGCACCGAGTCTCCCCTCCCCGGCCCCTGAGCACCCTGAAAACCAGTGGCCTTCTTTCCCCGCAGGACAGCCCTCCCCAGAAGCTGCCGTGCGGGACACTGTGGTCCGTGCTATGCAGAAGGTGCTCTGGAGCCGGTAAAGTCACTTATGCCCAGCCTACATGGACAGTGGCTCACTCCCTGACATCCTGCCACCTACGGGGCCCCAGGGCTGTGATGTGGGGGCAGGGTAGAGGGAGCCTGCCAGGGGCAGAGATCTGAACGTGGCTCTGGCTTCAGGCCACACTTGCCCTCGAAACCACTGTCACTCAGAAAGCTGGTTCAGGTCCCCTGGATGCCGCCAGTGTTGTGGTGGTCCCTGCCCAGAGGGGCCAGTGAGTGCAGTGAGAGCTCACTTGGCTACGCACCCAGCTCAGCACCCGGCCCCACCTCAGCCTTCAGGAGCTCCCGGACCTGGCGCTGAGCAGGGAGGCCGTGGAGGGCATCGCCGTGGGCATTGAAGCTGCCCTCTTCGGCCTGACACAGGCCACCAATGGCCACTACAAGAACAAGTACCGCAGTCTGCTGTTCAACCTGCAGGACCCCCGGAATCCCGTGAGTGGGGCTCTGGACTGGGGTGGCGGGCAGGGGAGCTCGGAGCAGAGCCGTAGTCCCTCTCCGGGCCCCACAGGAGCTGTTTCTCAAAGTGCTTCGCGGGTCTGTACCCCCGCACGGCCTGGTGCGCATGAGCTCCATTCAACTGGCGCCCCAGGACCTGGCCCGCTGGCGGGACCAGGAGGAGAAAAGGGTGAGTCGTGGGGATCCAACTATGGGGGTGACGGGCAGCAGGAGGGCAGTGAGGATAGGCCGTGTGACTGGATGTGACCACACAACTGAGCACCGGAATGGAGGAGCAGGAGAGACAGGGGAGAGCCAGGGCTCCTGCCCCATACAGCCCGAGCACGGAGGGCAGAGAGGTAAGGGGCCCGGCCATTGACGAGGCCTTTCACTCTCCTGACTGAGGCTGGTCTGGGCGTCAGGGGGACCAGCGGGGAGCGCCCAGAATATGGGGTCGTGGGCACTCACCTGTCATCATTCGGGAGTGACAGCCCCTGAAGTGCCTCAGCTCCCAGCCCAGCCTCAGTAACCCCAGAAAAATCTTTCTGCTGCCTTAGGATGGGGGAGCCACCTCCCTCATATGTCCTGTGTCCAGAGGGCTCTTCCCAACCTGGTGCCGGTACTGACTGGGCCTTGGGACTGCTCTCTTGGTGCTGGTTGGTGGCCCAGTGAGTGGAGAGACTGAGGCAGGGGTGAGGCTCTTCATACTCTGGCCAGTGAGGGTGGGACCTCTTTACTCCAGGGGTTTGGGAAGGGACACGCTCTCAGGACACATTGCAGGGCCATGCCACTAACTCATGCTAAGAATCCCAAATAGTGTGTCCGAGGACACACACATTACTCATGCTGCTTAATATGACACCCTTAATCTAATTCCTCAGAGCTGAAAGCAGTGGAGAGCTTGCCCCTTGCGCCAGTCTTCCTCCTGGCCTGGCGGGCTTCCAGAGCCTGCCCCTTGTGAATGACCACACTCCCTCTGCCAGGCATAGAGTAGGCGGGGCAGTCTGACTTGGGAGTGAAGGAGAAGTTCAAGAAGGCTTCCTGGAGGAGGCCACGCCTGAGTTGGAGGGATGAGTGGGATGTGGAGGGACAGGGTGGAAGGCGGAGGGCTCTCCTGGACAGGGAAGGCCAGGGGCAGCAGTGTGCAGGAGCAGGAGCCCCGGGCGAAGGTCCCCAGGCAGGAAAGCACCCTGGGCTCTGGGTGCCCGGTCCCCAGCCTGCTGAGCAGGGCCGCTGTGCCCCGCCAGGGCCTGGAACTCCTTGAGCAGCTACAGAAGGAGCCACACCACCTCCCGGCCTTCAAAGTGACCCACAAGGGGGAGGTGGAGATCCTGCGGGATACGGACCAGACCCTGACGCTCGAGGACCTGGTGGTAAGTGGAGCCTGGCTGGGGCCCCACTGTCCTGCTGCACCAGCTAAGGCCACCATCTGCAGGGGCACTGCACCGGGTCTGGGTGAGCCAGGGGACTTTGGGCAGAGCCTGCTCACTGTCACTGCCCCGCTCCTTGGGGCAGTTCGACCCCAAGTTCTCTTGTTTTTTTTTTTTTTTTTGCTTTTTGGGTCACACCCAGCGATGCACAGGAGTTACTCCTGGCTCTACACTCAGGAATTACTCCTGGCGGTGCTCAGGGAACCCTATGGGATGCTGGGAATCAAACCCGGGTCGGCCGCATGCAAGGCAAACACCCTATCCGCTGTGCTATCTCTCCAGCCCCCCCCCCCCAAGTTCTCTTGTGTGCAGCTGCCTTCCTTCCTGATGGATCTGTTGGGACCAGGAGGGATGCCCTGGTCCAGCCGTGGGTTCTGGCTGTGGGGCTGTGACCCATTCTGTTCCATACAAGGGCTTGGAGATGTGGCACGGTGTCTCGGTGGCACCCACGGTGTGTAGGCCACTCTCTGTGGCACCCACTGACAGTGCCAGAGGCACGTGTCTCAGAGCATGTCCCGTCCCACAGTCCCATGTGACTGGCGTGTTAGGAGGGCCTGCCGCCTCAGAAGTGATTTGTGGACAAAGTGAGGTGCCGGGTTGAACATTTGATCCCTATCATTTTAGCAGAAGGACCCCCCCCCACACACACACACACACACATGCACACTCCCACCCCAAACTCGTATATATAGAAAAACCTTTAAAACCAGGAATGCCAAAAGAGTGACAGTTGTCTCTGTGGTGGGAGGAAAGGGGTTGATTTTGGTTTTCCCCATAATTTTGTTACCAAGCCCAGGGTCCCTTTGGAAAACAAGAGTGTCATCTTCGGGGAAATGTGCCCCGCTCCCCGAAGTTCACAGCTCATGGCGCTGGCCAAGCTGCCCCCGCCCACTGTGCCCCTCTCTCCTCTGCTTCCAGGGCCCCGTGATGCCCCCCGTGCTGGAGGACCCCACCGAGCAGCACAAGCCCCACGCCCCGGACCCCAGCAGCCACATCGGCACGGGTGGGAGGGAGATGCAGGAGGGTGCGTGGATGGACTGGAGGGGCTGCATGCGGGGTTCAGCAGGAACAGTGGCAGGGTGGGGGCCTACGTCTGCTGCGCTGCCTGGCCCCGGTCCAGCTGCTGCCTCTGATCTTCGCAGGCCCGGACCCCACGTGTGAGCTGCAGGAATCTCTCAAAGCCACCGGCAAGGTGGAGGACAACAACTTCCAGAACATTTTGAGCCCAGCCCCCGTGTGCTCTCCAGAGATGCCCCAAAGTGAGCTGAAGCCTCCCGTGGAACCCCAGGACAGGTGTGAGAAAGGGCTGAGGAGAGGCAGAAGGGCCAGTGCGGGAAGATCTTCTGTGCAACAGCAAACTCAGCTGGGACTTTCCTTTCTGTATGGCCCTGGGCAAATCCTGCTGCTGTGTGCCTCAGTTTCCCCTCCTAGGCAGTGGAACGAACCAGTCCAGCCCTCTGCCCCCAGTCCCACTCACACACAGGACTTGGCTGGTGAGTGAGGAGCGGCTGGGAGGTCCTGACTTTGCCCTTCCTCTAGGCCACAGATATCCGCTGGGCCTCCCAAGGCCGCCCCCAGCCAGCCGCCTTGGGAGGGGTCTGTGGACATGTTCTCCATCAAGCGGTTCCGGGCCAAGGCTCAGCTGGTGTCAGGACACAGTTGCCGACTCATCATGGTATCCTGTCCCTCCCTGTCCCGGGATCCCCCAACACGCAGAAGCCCAGAAAGCTACTCCTCACCTCCCCCTTCCCCAGCAATTCTTCCCGTCCCACTCCCTCTTTCAGGCTGAAGTAAGTTCCTGGTGTCCACTCTGGGCCTGGCCCTGTGCTGGGCACAGGAGCAAATGAAATGCCACCTTCATCCTCAGACACCAGGGTAAAGCACACCTGTGACCCCAGGTGTGAGCAGGAAGGAGCCAGGAGGGGCTGGGTCTCCCTGACCCAGAGGATGATTTGCCAGTGGTAGTCGAGTGACTGAATGAGCTGATGTAGTGATTGAGGGTTGCGAGGTTAGAGGAGAGAGTGAGGACAAGCTGTAGGGGGACCGGCAGGGACAGAGACTGGCGTCCAGGAAAGTCGGGCCCTTCTGGGACTCCTGCCCAGCTTTGCTGTGGGCTGTGGCTCCTTGGTGGCTGGTGTTGAGTATGTCCTGGGCAGTGGGGCACCTGGAGCGCTCACTGTCCATCCTGACTGCCCCCAGGCCCTGCCAGAGGTGATCCGCTCAGCAGGCTGCATCTCCTCCAGCACCGTCTGGGACCTTTTGGCCAGCATCTGCCCAGCTGACGCCAAGGTAAGGGCACACGGCGGGCCTGCCTCTGCTGTGGGCCTCCAGGGCTGCGAGCACACACTCATGGCATGACCCCTGGATGAGCCAGGGGTATTGGCAGGTGCCCCGGATGACTGTCCCTAAACCTGCTCTTCTCCCTGCAAACGCAGGACGTGTGCGTGGTCAGGCTGTGCCCACAGGGCTCCCGGGACGTGCAGAACTGCCGCCTCCTCTACTCCTACCTCAACAACAAGCAGCGCCACGGCCTGGGCGCCGTGGAAGACATGAGGCTGGTGCTGCTGCCCCTGCCTGCCTTCCAGCCACTGCCGGCCAGATTCCGCCCTCTCGGAGGCCCAGGTGACCAGATCTGGATCAACACAGAGCACACGGGCAGACAGCTCGGGAGGGAATTTCTTAGATGGACAGAAGTGACCATGGTGGTGCTGCCTGGTCTGTGACTCACTGCATGCCAGGTGTTCGCCTGCTTTAGCTGCAGTTGTGCTGTGCAACACTGTTGTAGTGTGCTAAAGTATTTAGTTGTGGCGTACTACCTTTTCTGTTGCAGTGTAGTCCCTGTTGTCGTGTACTGAGTTCAGTTGTCATGTACTCCCTGTTTAATTGCGTGTGTGACTCTATTTAGTGGTAGTATGTGACACTGGTTAGGTAGTGTACTCCCTGTGTAGTGGTAATGTACTCACTGTCCGTGGTAGGGTCTCACTACTTAGTGTGTGACACTGTCCATGGCAGTCTCTCTGTTGTAGTGTGTGACACTCACCGTGGTAGTGTTTCTCTGTTGTAGTGTGTGACACTTTTCGTGGTAGTGTCTCACTGCTAGAGTGTGCTGCACTGTCCATGTAGTGTGCTCAAAACTGGAAACATTCCTGTCAGAAGGGAACCAGTTCCTTTCTTTTGTTCCCAGACACCGAGGCTAAGGTGGGGAGAAGGCAGGGGACCAGGACTGGCAGCCACATAGCCAACCAGTGGCTGGCTGCAGCTGGTTCCTCAGACAAAGTTGCAGCCAGCTCACCCCGCTAGGCAGCCTCCCATCTTGGGCCCCCAAATAGAAATTTCTGGATGGCTGCACCTGAGACAGGGAGGAGTGTGTGCAGCTCAACTCACTGGGCCAAACCTGACCTTTCCTGCATGGACTCCAGGAGAGGCCTGTTGGTGGCCTCTGGGGCTGGGTCTACAAACAGTGGACTGTCCCCATTCTTGGGGCTGCCTGTCCTGGGGACAGTGAAGTCAACAGAATCCAGTGTCCTGTGGTCAAACCATGTGCCCTTTGCTGCCCGGCACACCTGTTCCCACATGACGCCAATCTCTTGAGATTACTCCTCTCTCTCTCTCTCTCTCTTTCTCTCTCTCTCTCTCTCTCCTTCTCACACACTCAGACACATACACACACACACATCATCCCTGCTAGCTCAGGGACCCACAGCATGCCTGGGAAGTCATTCCTGAGAGTCCCCTCCTATCCGCCTGCTATGGCCGGGCTACAGTTTATGGGGGTTCAGTGTTGCTCTGACTATCTCTGCTCTAATCCCCCCACCCCCTTCCAGGCCTGGATGTCACTCACTCCAGCCTGTTGCTGGCTGTGCTGCTCCCCAAGGCAAAGCTTCCAGACACCGCAGAGTCAAGCCTCTTGAAGGGGAAGGTGCGCAAGACAGTCTCCTTCAGCAAACGAGTGGAGCTGAGATGCTACCAGCCAGAGACCAGGAAGCCGGTGGCGCCCCCAAAGGGTGTTCCTGCACCCCAGCAACATCAGGACAGAGGCAGCCTGACCCCTAGGATACCATGTACATGGCAGAGACCCCCTATAGGCCGGGGAAGACTGTGGGGAGAGCCCGAGATCAGGCAGCGTCCTGAGCAAGGACAGCGTCCCCCAGAACTGCACTGGGTCCAGGCCTGGCATCCCCATCCAGCAGCACCAACAGATGCTGGTCAGAGCCATGGCCAGCACTGCTCCGGGGCCTCCTGTCCCCGCCAAGCCCTTCTACAGTATCTTGAGTCCCTGGTGGCCATGAGTCACCAGCTCCAAGCCTCACTCGGGTGTCCAGACCAGGTACATGCTCCTTCATCCTTTGCCACATCTGCCCAACCCACCGCGACACCGGAAATCCTTGGCCTCGTCTGCCAGCTCCCCACACTACCTGGTCCACCTGGCTTGGCCTCTGACTCGTCTTTGGGCCCGGCAGAAGAAGCTGGTCCTGAGTGTCCCAGGGAACGTGACCCTGAGTGTCCCTAGCTGCCCATCACCCCCCAGGAGAGAGCCTTGGATTCCCTCCCGCTGCTGACACTCAGCCTCTTCTGGGGAGAAAAGGGCAGGGTGAAGAAGGAGGGGGGTCAGCTCAGTACACCTGTCCTGTTAGAGTTTTCTGTTCTGCAATCTGACTGATGTTGGTTTTTGGTTCAATAGAAAATTTGTAAAAATTGAGACTAACATCTGCTGACCAGTAGAGCAAACCTGGCCCTGGCCAAGTGTAGTTGTGGGTTAGAGTGTGGGTATGTTTGGGTTCCTGCACAGACAGGTGACATAGCTGAAGTGCTGGGAGTGGAGGGAATAGCCAAGACAGAGCTCCCCCAAGGTACTGAACCATCACTACAGCGCCAGAACAGCTTTCAATGTTTCTAAGTTATACATAGCCGTGTTTAGGGGCTACATAATCCCAGCTCATAATCCCAGTGCTTGGGGATTGCTCCGGGTGGTACTCAGTGCCAAGGATCCAACACGGGTCCCCCACTCAGTCTGCACTCAGCCCATTGTGCTCTCTCTCCTGGCTGTTTGCAAGTCCTACCCACTAGGAGGAAGAAGCCATAGAAGTTAAGGTAGGACTATAGTAGAACAAGAGAAAGATGTGGTGTTGAGAGGGACATGGGCACCCTGAGATTTTCAGGGAGAAATTAAAACATGTTGCAATGGTTTCTAAATGTTTTCAATTACTGAGATTTTTTTGGTCTTTGCATAGTTGGGGTCTGCCACCAAATTCCCTCCATGTCTGTGTGGGTGCGAATGTGTGTATGTACCTACGAGTGTGTGTGTGTGTGTGTGTGTGTGTGTGTGTGTGTGTGTGTGATCACACATCCATGTGTGCTACACTATGGAGGAAGCAGGGAGATGATGCTCCGACCAGGCAGAGAATGGAGAAAGCCATGGGCGGGCCCTGGGTGGGGGCTCTTGTTAAGCCTGCATGGTGCTGCTTTGCCTGGAATCTGGAATGAGATGTCACCACAGCTGCTGCTGTAATTGGGTGTATCTCCAACAAACTGCATCTGGAAACTGACACTAACTTCCCGGCTCCAGTAGTGAGCTGATAGCAAGATCCGCCCTCCCCCCACCACCGATCTAACCTTGGGGAACTGCACCCCAGCCCCGTCCACTCCTTCCCAAAGTCTTTATGAACCAGCCTTCCCCTGGACACTGCTGGACCCGGAAGCCAGCCTGGCGCTGTGATGGTTTGGGGAGTCCCTCTTGGCCCGGTGAGCTCTGCTGCTGCCCTACCCACGGTGGACAGTAGAGGGGGCCCTCAGCCTTGGGATGAAGGTCGGGGCTGGCAGGTCTGGAGGCTGAGCTGGGGCTCCGCGGGGTGCGGGAATTTAGTGGAGCGGAGGGGTGGGGTGCGGGCATGAGGCCAGAAGTGGGAGCTGGACAGATGACCCAGAGGGAGGGGAGGGACTCCGTGGAAACTTTCCGGGCTTGAGGGGCTCTAGAGCGCCACAGCCTCCGCGCTATCTATAAACGACGCGAATTACAATGCAACAACGCTACAGCTCCATTCTGAGCCGCCACTTGGATGGTTTTCCTGAGGCAGTGGGGGCTGGGGTGTGGGCGGGACAGGAGACGGAGGAACGTCTGCTGCACCCCCCGACTCTCCCGGCGCGCAGGAAGAACGGGCTCTGTCCACTAGGCTGGGACTCCTTTCAAGCGGCAGTGTTCCCCTCTGTCCAGGGAGGACCCTTGACACCTCTTCCGGCAGAGAAGGGCGAGATAGGGCAGGACCTCGAGACCCTGCAGGCCTCCTCGAGGCTGGGGTCTGGGCAACAGGACCTCCCTCCGCCTTCTGGACATAGTCCACAAACCCTGTGCCTTTCTTTTTCGGTGGAGGAAGCCAGGAACGCGGATTAGGGCTGATTGTTGCCAGGGGGCGTGGCCGGCGGTTGCTAGGCTCGATTGCGTTGCTAAGCAACCCTGGGCGGGGCTGCGTTGCTAGGCCGGAGTAGGAGTCTCCAAGGACCTAAAGGGCCACCCGGCTCCTCCTCTCTGTTTAGTGGAAGGCATCCCACAACGCTGCTCTCCCCAGACTTTCTTGGGTCTCAGCCTCCCCCAGGCTGGACTCAGCCTCCGAGGGTCTTTCCGTTTCACACTCTCGCCGTTCTGGGATCCTCCGGGCTCCGAGTCCTTTTGTGCACATGTCTGTGTACGATGGGGAGAGTTGGGGGTCGCTTTTGGGTTTCTATAGCAACCGCTACCATGTCACCCCTTTCCTCCCAAAGGTTTGAGCGATGGCTCCTGGAAATTTGCATATATCTGCATGTCATTAGCATAGAGGCGGGGCCGGAACTTGTTTGGACAACTATCCCTGGACAGTTCCCTTTGCTTTTGGCTCAGCCTTTCTGATGGGCATGAGGGCTGCGCATGCGTGAGTGTTTTGCTTATTAATGTTTCCTGATGAGGGGTGAGTGAACTATCTGTAGTTTCAGGCCCCTGGTCACTATCAGTGTGAATCCATCCAGGTAACCCTGGCCAAAGATGTCTTCTCAAGACGGCAACTGGCCTGGTTGGCATCCCAATCCCTGGGTCTCTGGCTCAGTTTCCTTCTCTGTAAGATGGGGTGAGGATGCCACTTTTATATGCACCGTGGCTGTAACTGGCACAGAGCAGGCACTCGGTGGTAGCAACTCAGGAGTCATCGGAAACAAATCAGCCTCCTTTTTAGCAGGAGACCTGACAACTGAATACAGGGAAGAGCCCCTTGGTTAGAGTTGGTCTGTTTCCTGGAGGCTGGAAGTCTGGTAGGTGAAACATACGCCCTCTTCCTTCACCCCACTCCACCCCACCTTACAAAGACACCCCCACCCCCACCCCTGGTCTAAGGAAACAACTTCTTTCAGAAACCTTGCATGCCTGTTGTAAAGTGGCAGTTGAAATGGAGTGATGAAAGGGCAGAGGATGGAGGTGAAGGTGACTGAGAAAATGGCCCAGGAAGTGTGGCCTGCTCCACTCAGGGGGCTGAGGGCAGAAACTCTGCTTGGAGAGCCACATCTGAGCTTAGCCAGAGAGGACAAAGGGACCCTCGGGCCACCCTGTAGCCCTCTGGAGCCTCACTATGCCACTGTGAACGGTAGGGATGCCCCCATTGTGACTTGGAGTCAGCTCAGCATGGAATTTGCCCTCATTCCTTGGAGCGGGAGACCTGGGGACCTGGGCTGGCAGCAGAGACAGAGAGACCCCCGCGTGTGACTGGGATGGGCTGCAGACCTTCTCCTAGACATTCTTGTTTGCACCCATAAAGACTCTCTGAGAACTGGGTCAGCCATCAGAGAGCATGTCCTTTCCCCAGTGTGTCTGTAATCTCTAAGGTCACAGTGTGGGAGAGGTCACAGAGGTAAAGGAGAAGAACAGATTGGTATCTCCGTTCTCAGTGAGGTTCAGCTGATGAACATAACAGGGGCTGGCTCCTGTCTTGGTCAAAGGAAGCCTGTTGGTGATCGGGAGGTCAGGTAAGGGCTGGATTATGATTGACTGACTGGCTTCCTGGTGGAGGCAGGACTCCATGGGGCCATACCCTGCTGCTGCCACTCTGACTCTGATCACTGTATGTGGGACCTTCGTCTGCCAGAGGACGGCGGCCAGCCAACTCCTTCTCTGCCAGCCACCTGTGCTCCACAGGTAAGGGTTCCGGGGACAGGCTGAGAGCTTAGTAGTGCCCGGCTGGCCTTGCTTGTGCCCCACTCTGGGGGCCAATTAAGTCTCGTCCCTAGCCGTGCCGATTAACAGTTAATAAGGCGGCAAACACCTGCAGCTATGGAGGCGAATTAAGAGCAACAGTCGGCATAATACACAACCCGATAAGTGAGCAATTAACAACCGGAGAAAGATTAATAGAAGCAATTACATCCTACTTGGAGCTCTGTAAATACCACCGCCAGTGACTGGGGGATTCAGGCCAGTCCTGCCCTGTCCCACCCCAGGTCACAGCCTCTGCCAGGAGGGGAGCCAGCCCAATCGGCCAGGACTCCAGATCACATGAGAAAGACATGTGGCCCGAGATGCATACAGACCATGCAGAGGAAAGGTCTACACAGTGAGTCCCACAGACACAGATTCCCCACTGTCATCCCCAGACACATTCCCAGAAGTGGGTATACACAGCCACATGAAGGTCATGCCGGAGGAACACACAGGCATTCACAGGAAGTAGCCGATGTCACTCCCCTGTTTGACACAAAACTGGGATTGCAGGCTCCCAGACCCACGCATAAATAAATTTGGACTCATGGACACACCCAGCTGCACCCTGACAGGTTCTCTCATAGCTGTGGCATCTGCCCTCTGTTGATGCCTTCCTGGAAACAAGTGGTCCCTAGTGGCTGAGAGATACCACTGTAACTGGAGGAGGGGTGCACAGAATGTGTGTGAACACAGATAGCATGGTGATTGCACATGTATGCTTGCTTGTTTGTTTTGGGTTTTGTGTTTTTGCTTTTATTTTGGATCATACCGCTGATGCTCAGGGGTTACTCCTGGCTTGGTACTCAGGAATTACTCCTGGCAGTGCTCAGGGAACCATTTGGGATGCCAAGGATTGAAACTGGGTCGGCTGTGTGCAAGGCATACGCTCTACCCGCTGTACTATGGATCCGGCCCCACACACGTGTCCTTGCAAGCATGTGTTTCATCCCTTCATGCAAGCACATGTAGGAATGTACATCTGTGTGCGCATATGTGTGAAGTGGAACATGAGGTCCGTGTGGGAGGTAAACATGTGCTGTGTCCAGTAAATCTGTGACTGCACCGCTGGGAACGTGGGTCTTGTGTGATGTGGTTTATATGTGATACCCTTGTCTGGGAAATCTTGTGATGTACCTCAGTGAGATTTCCTCTATGGCGACTGAGAGAGATCCACAGGATACTTCTTGGGGAGCCTGGGATGGTGATGCGTGAAACTAGGGTGCCCCTCCCAATAAGGGGTCCAAGGGTACAGTGGCCAAAGCAATAGTATAGTGGGTAGGCGATCCCTTGCAGGC